GGTTATTAATGATTTATCCGTGTCTATCAAGAACCAGGTTCACCAGATACCTTCTTCTGGCTTAGGTGAACTGACGTTGATATCGCTGCAGAATTTTGAATTACAATCAGCAGAATAAGAGCACTCTCTCTGAAGTTTCGGATTAACACAAGATCATGCAATATTGGTGCGCATTTCTTGATACGACAGCCAAAAGACCTAATCACAAGGAAACAGTACGGTTGTTGAAAAGGCGTAGTGGCGGATGCAGTCATTTACTTGAGGGCGAGCAACTGGGCCAACAAGCTTTGACATGCTATTATAAATGGACTTCTTAGGTTTAGAAGTGCTTGATTGCCTCACAGAATTCGCGAGTTGTTTACAGAGCTCTTGTTCTGTTTCGTCAGAAAGCCAATAGTGAAATGTGATTGTTATGAAATATATCTAGACTGCTGCACTCTTGGCGGCAGCTTAGGATGAGGCGGAATATAAGTTTTCTGATACAGGACTTTGTTGTCCTAGCACTTCAATTTACGACTATTCAGTGCAGTGCTTCGCTTCTTTTCGCACTGAACAGGTATGTCAAATAGTGACAGCTTCTGCAGCGGAAAGTACACCTTCGATTGCATGAATATTCCCATCATATAGAGCAAGAAAAGGGAGGAAATATTCTTGGCTTCGTCTTCTCGTTATCCTAGCGCTCGCGGATCTTCTTCATGCTCTTCTCAGTAGGTTTTATAGTGATAGCGAAGTTTGTCCGCCGCGCGAAGGCTCTTCTCGAAACGAAGACTATTTTCCAGGTATTCCGTATACAATCTATCTAATAACACACTGGAGTCCAACATATATTGATCTAGATCCATATTATGTTGTTATTCTAGGAGCTTCTACTGTAATTTATTTAAAAGTTCATCTGATTCTAACTATATCTGCTGCTGTCGAGCGTATTTTGGTAAGAAATGAGCTTACAGCCCAGCAAGTGAGTGTGCTTGACGTCATTTCAGGCCCTCTTTCTGCCGGCTTACTACCGTAAAGTAGCTTGCTCCACATATGTCGTCGTTTCGCTGATGACCGCCCTCCTTTGGGCAGCACTCGATCTTTGTATGGAATTCAGTCTTTTGGCTTTCGAGAGGAAACCAAACTGCGCTGCAGTGGGATGCTTTTTGGACCGTAGCTACTCATACTATTTTAGCATGAACGGTTTGGTGAGGAGAAGTCGTCATTCGACTGTTGCCCACTTCGAAATATTTTTCTCTCTTTATTTAGGTGCATATTCAGGTGCTGAGCCTCACCGCATTTGCACTGACATCGCTTTTCATGATAAAGTTGAGATGCTCTCAGCGGAAATCGCGAACCCTTCAGGTACACACAGTAGGAGAGGAGTGCAGGTTTACACAGGTATGTTCAACGCACCAGAAAGCGAGATGTTATGCGTATGCCGTTCGGAGTTTGTTCAGGCTAATCGGATCTCGGCGGGGATTCTACTTATTTCCCTATTCTTCGTTACCTTTCCATGCGTCATCTTTAGTATCATTAGTATTCGTGGCGATTTTCTGTTTCAGTATATTGGTCCCTTCTTCATTGTCCTGCTCTTCTGTGCTGGTTAATGAGTCAAACATTCGTACAAGCAGAGCGTAACCCATTATCACTTCCAGGTATTTTCAACAGTACGGTACATCTTGTTATGAATCGATGTATACGCGAACATGTGAAATCGCTTCTACTCGGTGAATGCTTCACTAGAGACATACTAC